TAAACTTATAGTTTTCTAGTTATAAGGTTTAATAGTAAGTACAAAGAAGTTAAAGGGCAATAACTCATATAAAGGGTCATCAGATCCTTTTGCACTTATACAGTGAAGTTAGGCCTAAAGACCCTTAAGATATCAATGAATGTTTGGTGTGTCTACGGTCTACAGTTCTGAAGGAGTAGCGATAACAAGGTTTTTCGCACAAGGGGCAATAACTTTTAAATGGGTTAATGTTAGGGGACAAGAATAAAATCTTTGAAACGGTTTTAAGAGTACATATTATTGATGCATAGACATTAAGTAATGTTGAGAGACAAAAGAGATATAAAAAATGTTAAATTTTTCATTTTTGGAATGACCTTGACCCATGACCTTTACATGCATTTTAAGGTCAAAGGTCAATGAATCTTATGCAGTTGGTCCCATGTCTTTACGACTTGTCGGTTTGAAAATTTTTCATTATTTGTAAAATTCAAAAATTTCAGGGGCAATAATTCATAGAAGGGGTCTGAATCCTTTCGCAATAATAGATCCGAAGGTCCTCTCAAGTAGTCGCAGACATTGGTAAAGGTTTCAAACCTCTGCGGTTTATGGTTTCGGAGGAGTACCAATAACAAGCATTGCTTGCGTAAGGGGCAATAACTTTTGAAAGAGTTAATGTTAGGGGACAAGAATGAAATCTTTCAAATAGTTTTAAGAGGGCATATTAATGTTGCAAAGACTTTAAGTTATGTTGAAAAAAAAAAGAGATATAAAAAGATCTTAATTTCTCATTTTTGGAATGACCTTACCTTTGACCTTTGCAAAAATTTTTAAGGACAAAGGTCAATGAATCTTGTGCAGTTGGTCCCATGTCTCTACAACTTCTCTTTTTAAAAAATTTTTTCATTTTTTGTAAAATTAAAAAACTTTAGGGGAAAAAACTACAGAGGGGTCTCAATCCTTTCGCAATGAATAGATCCGAAGATCCTTTCAAGTAGTCGCAGACATTAATAAAGGTTTGGAATCTCTGCGGTTTACGGTTTCGGAGGAGTAGCGATAACAAGCATTTCTTGCAAAAGGGGCAAAACCCAAGAGTCAAAGTTCATATACGCAGGGTAACTCGAAAATCATTTACGAAGTACATTCTTATGGTCTATAAATCTTTTCGATAAATCTTGAAACTCAAAAACACGTTTGGCGGAAAAATAATAATAATAAACAGAACAATTTCAATAGGTCTTTCCACAGAAAGGTGGAAAGACCTAATAAAGTAGAAGAAGTTGTGTCTCTCTGGACAAGGTAACTTTTGTCCCTGATCAAGTTGTAATGTTTTACTTAAATATAAGTGTTTTGTTGTAGCCTCCTCCCCCTGTAGCCATGGTAATGGAGCCTGCACCCAGCTGTGTCTGCCCCGCCCCCAGTTCAATGAGACAGGTGTGAAGGTGTCCAAACAGAACCGTACCTGTGCCTGTAACGGAACCTCCTTCAAGATCCCCACCGCCTCCGGATCCTCAGAACACTGCAACTGTGGAGTAAAGGACATGAAGATTAACGGAGTCTGTATGCCCTCAAACAAATCCCCAGGTTACTTATTTGATCAATTTATGGTTAAAGTACTTAGAGATTTGTTTATTTGTTGTTATTCTGGCATCAAGTAATATGATGTTATAAATTCAATAAGTATTTAGTACTTAAGTAACTTACTTAAGCTTGATATCTAACTTGTTCTGCTAATTACTGTAAACAAATTATTTCAGTGTCTAACTGTTCACACTCGCACTTTACCTGTGGTAATGGTCGATGTATCCCGTCTACCTGGCTCTGTGACCGTGACGATGACTGCCATGATGGATCAGACGAATTCGACTGTCGTATGTAGAAAACTTTTACGTTTAATGGTCGACATATAAAAATATATTCTTCTAAATTTGACAGTTTTATAACAGTTAGTATTTTCATATAATGGTCAAATCAGGAGTGATAGGATATGGTAGATATTAACTCTGTGGAATCGGTGCATGTATTTAGCTGAATGTTGACCTCTATTGAATTCTTTTCTTTGAAGCTTACTTGGAGTGTACTGTAGGTAATTTCCAATGTAAAAAGGGAGGGAACTGTATCCCTGAGCGCTGGCGGTGTGACCATGACAACGACTGTGAGGACGGAAGCGATGAAATGAACTGTGGTAAGTCTTGGTTTCTCTGATTAAGAGCATCGTCAGAATTGATGTGATGTAAATGTAGCAATATTGTACAAGCATCTCATAATAACACCCAAGAGTATGCAGTTTTCATGTGCAATCTTTTCTTTACTGCCTACCTACAGTGTATCTTGTAATTCTTAGACAATTCACATTCATTTTGTTTTACTACCAACTCATCTTGTAACATGGCATTGAAATTACCATTTACATGTGACAATATTTCTTTACGTGTCTTGTGACAAGAGTATACAGTTTACGCGTGACAATCTTTGTTTTACAGCGTACCCGACCTGTAACAAGAGTACACAGTTTACGTGTGCCAATAGTCGCTGTATCCCCCTTAACTGGACGTGTGACCATGACGATGATTGCCATGACAACAGTGATGAAATAAACTGTAAATACAATGGTGAGATTTGACTAGCTTGCAATTTTCTATTTTTATAGAATTAAGCATTTTTAACCATATGCACTATTTTGTGAGCAATATTTTCTCTCCATAAGTTATTGTATTTTCTATGTCTTCTAGTTACACTTTCATAAAATCAGAAGGAATAATATGTGTTCACTGTACCTTTTTATTAGATACAGTGTGTAATTGTATTTTCAATGATGAATGATAATTTAAAAAATGGTAATTATACTGATACAAAAGTAATTTTTTCAATCTTTCAAATTTTAGAGACCTGCAGTGATGAACAGTTTCACTGTGCCATGCATCAGCCACGTTGTATTCCCAGCTCAGATGTGTGTAATGGACAGAATGACTGCGTGGATGGCTCGGATGAGGTCAACTGTACCCAAAGCCAGTGTCCGTACTACAAACACCAGTGTGCCGACAAGTCGCAGTGTATCTACCGCAGCTGGGTGTGTGATGGAGAGGCGGACTGCCGAGACGGCAGTGATGAGAAAAACTGTACTTTTACAAGTAAGTCCTAGCGTAAACAAAAGAAATGGGACATTTCTGAAGTTCAAGAGAAGCGATTCAGAAAAAAAAATTATTCTATCAGAAAGTTAAAATGATATCAGAGCTGCCAACCCTTACGATTTTGGCGTAAGGTGTACGAAATCAGCGTCTAAAATACGCCTTACGATTTCTCTCTATATTCTTCCGATTTCAGTTTTTCTCATTCAAAGTTTATGATACCGGTATTTTCATAGCTGGCAGTCCATAGTATCTACATTGTAATATATTCTTCATTCTTACAATGTTTGCTTGTATCATCGTTTCGGTTTTAGAAGGCCAGTCACATTCATGTCAATGTTTTAAAGTAAACAAAATGGAAACAATTAAGCCTCAGATCGCATGTTCATTTACAAAACATCTTCAGCGTCAGGGGGCTTAGGTGGTCCCTAGACTCTGCCTTACTATTTGTCATTTGAGAATGTTGACAGCTCTGTGATGTTCACAAACCTTTAAGAATACCATTATGAAAATAAATGAAATGTTTTCTGGAAAGGTCCCTCACTACATGAATAGTCACTGTGATACTTGGAAGTTAACTTGAAGATTTAATTACAGCTTCATGTGTTAGTTGTCAGAAAAGAGGTATACGATTATGTCTGTGTATGAAGTAATGACACACATAAGCAATAGTTGCCGTCCTGTGTAGATTTCTAGTATCTTAATTCAAGGATTTTTTCCCCAACAGCTTTTTTCCACATTCAACACATTTTACAGATAAACTTTGTATTCAAAATACATCTTGATTTTAACTTTAGTTTGTATTTGTTCAAATCAATCAATGTCTAGTGATTTAATTTCAGACTCCACTACACCCTCTATTACCACTGGTGAGAAAGATGCACACTGTTAATTATAGTAGTTTTCGTATATGTACGTCCAAAGGGTTTAGGGTTTATATTTATTATAATTGTAAACTGTCCATATTATAACCTAATGTCCACAGAGGTTTCGGCTACTTACAGACCCATATACTGTATGTGTACTTAAAAAAAGTGGGCTTCATATTTTAGAGGCTTTGGCGCAGACAATGCTGTGCTAATTCATGAATACCGCTAAAGAATTCATTTATAAATAGAATATAAGGCACGAACATGTGTAGCGCTAATTCATGATTACTTCAACAACTCCATATCCATTGATTGCGCTAAATTTTGAATTCGCCAAATTAGGTACACATACAGTAGTATTTTAAAGTTTGGATTTCATAGAAGCATATCATTTATAAGAAAAGTAATAGGAATCGGTCTGCTTATTGTGTACTCGGAAATATTCAACGTATTTTTTAAAATAAGATACCTAATATATACTTTATAATTTATACAGATAAAAAAAAAATTGCAAAGGTAACACTGTTATAAGAATTTTTTTTAGCTCACCTCAACGAAGTTGGGGGGAGCTTATGTGATACCCTCGGCGTCGGCGTCGGCGTCGGCGTCGGTGTCGGCGTCGGCGTCGGCGTCCCAGGTTAAGGTTAAGTTTTTTGGAGCAGTTTTCTTTTTAATTACTTCTGTGTCCTATACTGATTAGACATGCATGGAAAATGGTTTTAGTGTGTTTTATTGTACCAGACAAAGTTTCAGATGCTGCAATTTCAGCAAAGGAATTACCAGGTTAATGTTTTTGGAGCAGGTTAACATTTTTGGTGCAGTTTTTGGTGTGGGTTTCATTTCCAAGTAACTATCAGGCCTATGTTGACCAAACTTGCATGGATGATACATCTAAGGATGCATACTACCGGGATTGCTTCGGATGCTGAATCTGACCTACATTTTCCGGTTGAGTGAACAGGTTAAAGTTTTTGGTGCAGGTTTCATTTCCAAGTAACTATAAGCCCTATGTTGACCAAACTTGCATGGATGATACATCTAAGGATGCATACTACCGGGCTTGCTTCGGATGCTGAATCTGACCTACATTTTCCGGTTGAGTGAACAGGTTAAAGTTTTTGGTGTAGGTTTCATTTCCAAGTAACTATAAGCCCTATGTTGACCAAACTTGCATGGATGATACATCTAAGGATGCATACTACCGGGCTTGCTTCGGATGCTGAATCTGACCTACATTTTCCGGTTGAGTGAACAGGTTAAAGTTTTTGGTGCAGGTTTCATTTCCAAGTAACTATATGCCCTATGTTGACCAAACTTGCATGGATGATACATCTAAGGATGCATACTACCGGGATTGCTTCGGATGCTGAATCTGACCTACAATTTCCGGTTGAGTGAACAGGTTAAAGTTTTTGGTGCAGGTTTCATTTCCAAGTAACTATAAGCCCTATGTTGACCAAACTTGCATGGATGATACATCTAAGGATGCATACTACCGGGCTTGCTTCGGATGCTGAATCTGACCTACATTTTCCAGTTGAGTGAACAGGTTAAAGTTTTTGGTGTAGGTTTCATTTCCAAGTAACTATAAGCCCTATGTTGACCAAACTTGCATGGATGATACATCTAAGGATGCATACTACCGGGCTTGCTTCGGATGCTGAATCTGACGTACACTTTCCGGTTGAGTGAACAGGTTAAAGTTTTTGGTGCAGGTTTCATTTCCAAGTAACTATAAGCCCTATGTTGACCAAACTTGCATGGATGATACATCTAAGGATGCATACTACCGGGCTTGCTTCGGATGCTGAATCTGACCTACATTTTCCAGTTGAGTGAACAGGTTAAAGTTTTTGGTGCAGGTTTCATTTCCAAGTAACTATAAGCCCTATGTTGACCAAACTTGCATGGATGATACATCTAAGGATGCATACTACCGGGCTTGCTTCGGATGCTGAATCTGACCTACATTTTCCAGTTGAGCGAACAGGTTAATGTTTTTGGTGCAGGTTTCATTTGCAAGTAACTTTAAGCCCTATGTTGACCAAACTTGCATGGATGATACGTCTAAGGATGCACACTACCAGGCTTGCTTCGGATGCTGAATCTGACCTACATTTTCCGGTTGAGTGAATAGTTAAAAGTTTTTGGTGCAGGTTTCATTTCCAAGGAACTATGAGTTCTTTAATGACCAATCTTGCATAGATGATACATCTAAGGAGGCATACTTCCAGGCTTGCTTCGGAAGCTGAATCTGACCTACTTTTTGTGGATGAGTGAAAATGTTAGTTTTAATGCATGTTTCATTTCCAATAAACTATGAGCCCTATAATGAGCAAACTTGCATGGATGATACATCTAAGGATGCACACTAATGAACTTGCTTCGGATGCTGAATTGGACATACATTTTTCAGATAATAGACAAGGTAAAAGTTATGGTTGCAGGTCTATTACCAAAAACTATAAGGCTTATATAACATTGTATAAACCAAACTTTCACAAATGCTGCATCAAGAGATGAAAACTCTCAAATTTGCTTCAGATGCTGGATTTTCATTACATTTTCATGAAGAAGAAGTAGTTCAAATTTTTTATGTAGGTCTATTTCAAAGTATCAGATCAAAATTGCTTTTAAAAATATTTTCATTTTTGGAATGTATACTTTTTGTTGGTTAATTGTGTGACTTTGCCCTTACGTTGAGGTGAGCTCTGTAATCTCTGATTACCTATGTTTAAGTTTTGTGAACAGTATCACCAGTATGTCTGTCTGTAGGTCAGTATCTTATAAGTGACCATTGTTTACTCCTTACAGCCCCAGCCCCTACAACTACTACTTATTTCTGTGAGCGACACTGTACAGACAGGCGTGGATGTTACGATTACAGTCAGAGGTGTGACGGAATAGAGGACTGTCTGGATGGATCAGATGAAATATTCTGCCCTCGTAAGTTTATCTATTTAATTATATGCTCCTGTTATAATGAGCTCTTTAATCTGGATTAAAATTATCCATTTTCACATTTCTTGATCAGTTATAACCAAATGCAACACTAGTGGCTAAACATAAAATATACATGTGCATCACATGTAATTGAGTAAACATTTGAACATTTGGATGTGGTAAACAATAAAGTGTAGATGTACCTATGTATTCAAATCTTTTAATTTTTTAGACCCCAATGTAAAGTACATTTAAATCAGAAATAGGCCATGAAAAAGAATCTTTTTTTACATTAAATTTTCAGTAAGAAAGTGACTGCGAGTGAACTCTGTTTGCCATGGCCAACATCCTTTTGTAACTCTTTATTTGTTATTGTCCTGTCCTGAATTTCAGAACATTGAAAAGTACCCCCAAGAATAAGGGGGGAATTTTACTTGAAATAAAAGTCAATATGTATAGTAATGACACGTGTTTTCTGTGTAGGAATATCAACTACTCCATTTCCTACAACTAGTGCCCCTGGCTGTAGTGAGAACCAGTTTTACTGCTACAGAGGTCACTCTATTTACCCCATGTGTATCCCCCAGACCTGGGTGTGTGACAATGCTACTGACTGTGAGAACGGGGAGGATGAAGATGCCAGTGAATGTAAAGGTAGGCTTAAGTTGTAAAGAAAATACAACTTAACATTAGGTTGTCATTCAGATGTCATTATGGCATTCTGTGGGTACAGTGAAACTAATTTTTGTGGGGGTTAATTTTCATTGTTTTTGAGATATGGAGAGACCCACAAATTTATGACCACCACGAATTGCAAAATTTCATTTGCATCATGACTAAACATTTTTAAATAACGAAATCAAACCCACACAAAGCAATATTTTTCCCCCAAAACCTTAAGAATTTGCATGTCGTTTTGATCAGATAATCCGCGCCCTGTCAGCTAAACATGATACAACAAGTTTACAATATATTTTAAAGTCACTGCAAATAAAAATCAATTCACTCTAAGGGTCATTATAAGTGTCTTCACTGTTAGTGTATTTTACTGTATTATACACCATTTGATATTCAGTATAACACTACCCATAATTCCACTAATCATCTTTCAGCTAAAGAGCATTGTCCTGTCACTGACTTTAAGTGTTTGTACAATGCTGGCTGTGTGCCCCAGTCTAAGGTGTGTGATGGCTTCTCTGACTGCCTGGATAAATCAGATGAGATGGGATGTGACATGACGTCTACTTCGACTTCAGGTAGACAAGTATACAAACTATTACTTTATGTCCTTTAAGATTTTTTTTTTTTTTTTTTTTTTAATAATTTATTGCTTTTTGAAAAAATTTTTTTGTTTGAGCTTGAGAGAGAGAGAGAGAGAGGGGGGGGGAGAGAATGAGAAAGAGAGGGAGAGAGAGGGGAGAATGAGAGAGAAAGAACTGCAGAGGCAGAGAGAGAGAGAAGGACAGAAACAGAGAGAAGGACAGAAACAGAGAGAGAAGGACAGAGAAAGAGAGAGAGATGGTTAAGAGAATAAATCAGTCAGTGGCCTCCAGCTTTCATCAAAAGATTCTTTTTCATTATTTTTATAAGATATATATTTTTCTAATTCATACATTGTCTTAATAGAGGATATCAACCCATCTAAGGAGATGTTTCTGTTTGTACATTTGTACAGATAGATATAATGTTAATTTGTAAGGCAATAATATTTTTAAGCTTATCAGTTTTCTTCACAGAGCCTAATAAAAATTCTTTTTTTGAAAAAAGTTATAGTAGTGTTAATTTTATTGAAACAGTAGTTTGCAAAATTCTCTAAAAGAGACTGAACATGTTCACATTCCCACAACAAATGTTATGTTGTTTCAGTTTCTATTTTAAAGAAGGTACATGTTTTATTATCAGTTTTATTAATTTTGTGCAGGAAGGAATTTGTCGCTAGTATTTTACGGTGCATTCTAAATTGAAACCACTGAAGTTTGGTGTTTTTTGTAATTTTGAATGGAAGTAAATAAATTCTCTCCCATTCACCATTGTTCAAATCAAATATTCTGTTCCAAGAGGTTTTATCCAAAGGTTCATTTTTTGTCGAATTAGTATTTCATATAAGTCATGTGATTTTTTGGCATTCAGGAGCGCATGAACATTATCTGGGATATATGGGTAAGCTGTCTTTGAAAAGTTATTTTGATCTCTGTTTATCTTTCTCAGCCATTCTAATATTGATGCCTTAATGCCACTATATTCAGGAAAATGTGTTTTTATCCCATATTTCATATGTAGGTCATTCAAACTCAAAAATGTCCCATCTTCATTGAGTATGTCATTAATACATAAAATGTTATGAGAAAACCATCTTTTATAGAAGAATGGCTTTTTATTAATGGTTAATTTTTTGTTATGGAATAATGGTTCTAAAGAAGTAAGTTTCAAATTGTCATTTTGTAATGATTTTTCACAAAAGCTTAGCCATGCCTGTAACACGTCCTTCCAAAAATTATTTTTTAATTTATTCATTTTTTTGACAACATACTCTTGCCCACAACATGCAGTTTTTTTAATGTCAATATCTAAAAAGGAATCTAACCCATTGTCCTGCAGTAACCATTTTTTCATCCAAACTAGTTTTAAGGACATAATGAACTCTCTTATACTAATCATCTTGAGGCCCCCTGCTTTATAATTCATTACACAAATTTTTCTTTTTAGTCTTGAATGAAATATTACTTCCCATTACATATGTATAAAATAGATTTTCAAATTCTTTCATTTGAATTTCAGAGGGACTTGGGAGTATGCAAAAACATGATTTAATGTTGGCAATAAAAGAGTTTTTAGAACCGTTAGACGACCAAGAGGAGTTAAATTTCTCTTGTTCCAGTGTTGTATTGATTTTTTATGTTACTTATTTTTGATGCATAATTAAGCATAAATACATTTTTTAGATCTGTGTCAAAGTCAATGCCTAATAATTTAAAAGTTACTTTTCCCCACTCTAACATATGATCTGTACTTAGCATATCATTGCTATCATTTATCATTTATCTTTTTTAGACCCAATCCAGACTACTTGAGTTTTACTGTAACTCATATGCAAGCCTGACATATTCGCAAATCTTTTAAGAGTAGTGAGACTTGTTTGGAGTGATCTTTCACTTCCATCTAATATTAAAGAAGTATCATCTGCCAACATACTTAACTTTTTTTCAGTATTCATAAATTGAATCCCCTTTATATCCTTATTGTTTCGAATGCTGATTGCAAGGATTTCTGCACAAATGAGAAATAGATATATGGAGACAAAGGGTCTCCTTGACGGCAGCCTCTGTGTAGGTTAAAAGATTTCGACAAATTTCCTCCTTGATTAATGGAAGCTGTATAATATTTATGTAAAAAATATCAACCCATTTTCTAATAGAATTGCTAAAATTAAAAAAATTTAAGGGATTTCTATATAAAAGACCAAGACAAGGAGTCAAAAGTTTTTTCAAAGTCCACCAGGAGCAAAAGTCCTGGTATATTTTCTTCTTCTGTAAATTGCATATCATATGTAAGACTAGTCTTATATTTTCAGAAATATTTCTTCCTTGTATGAAACCAGTTTGATCTTGATGAATAATTTTACCAAGATATTTTTTCATTCTATTAACAATTGAGCCTGATGCAATTTTATAAACAGTATAGAGAAAGCAATGGGTTTCCAGTTTTTTAAATATTGTCTCGGTTTATCACCTTTTGGTATACAGGTTATTATACCATGTCTTTGAGTAGTACTTAAAGTCTTATTCTCATAGGCATAATTAATGGACCTTACTACAAAAATACCAATGGACTTCCAAAATACCTTAAAAAACTCTGATATAAAGCCATCCGAACCTTAAGATTTGGATACATGTATATATTTCACAAAGTAGCATTCCTCTCTTTTCAACATGAAAATTTCATCATCTTTCAAATGAAGAAGAAACCCTGCCTTGTATATAGACATACACTATTCTCTGTGTCTGTTTCAGCTCCAGAACTCTGTTCTCAGCTTAGAGATGAGAATTACGAGAAATTCCGTCAGAACTACTACGTGTGTAACTCCCAGGGAGTGGAGACTTGTGGACTCTGGTTGAGAGTGTGTGATTGGACAAACCCCTGTTATCTCTACAACAACCTGATTGTTACACTCTGTAGACAAAGAAGTACAGTATCAACTCAGTTTTTATTTAATCTAAAAAATCTTTCTAATATTTCCTATAAAATTGTTATCTCTTCATGTGAGATAGATGATAAAAGAATTTGTTTTTTTTTTTCCTGTTGCATAAAGATACTTGAATTTGTAAAAATTAATTGGTTGTTAATATAAAAAGTCAAGTTGTCATGCATATTTTGATTCAGTTAACAGAAGATGCTGTGAGGTGAATTATGAACTGTTGTTTTTTATTTTAGTAAATGTGACACACTTGGAGGCCATTCCTGACACAGAGGGTAACATTCTTGTCACCTGGCAACCGCCTGAAAATCTAGCCAATCAGAAGATCCGATATAAAGTCTCTTACTTGTAAGTAATAGGGTTAAAAGTAAAATATAATCCATAAGTCAAACAGAAAAACAAAAACATCGTGTAAGTATATATTGTCCACCCTTTTATACTTTCCCCCTCTATTGAAAGGATATGTAGCCTTATTAATTAACGATAATCATAACACTTTATAATAACATTTATCATAAGGGGCAAAATAAAATTTGGTTGAAAATTTCCCTGTACACAGTATATATGTAACATTCATATGCTTGTTTTGATTGATTTCCTATGCAGAGTGTTTAGGTAAACAAGTACATAAAATTTTTACAGAGAAAAGGAGAATGAGAAGACTTGGCAAAATATTACAGAAAACCTTAGCAGACATAATTACACCATTAAAAATGTGCGATCTTTGACCCCATATGTGATCACAGTGTATGTCATCACGCCTGACAACCGGACTCATTTCCCTGTAGAGCCCATTACTGTGACAACCTTGCAGGAAGGTAAGTCAGGGCATGTTTTTTTTGTTATCATAAATATAAGTAAAAAATTTTCTTTTATTTTTTTTAAGAAAGTTGGCGTTTTGGGTTTTTTCC